ATAGTCTTAATGTTAAAATACCAAGGCGTTGACTAGCTTTAAACACGTTGATCTGTTGATGAATGTTTTTATTGCGTGGCAAATTTGTTTGTCACGCTTTGTTTTCATTATGATTATTTTTTTTTTATTTTTTTTTTTTGGGAACGTCCCTAGACAAAATCGAAAATGGTATAGCATAATTGTCTTCACCAAACATTTTTAAATGACCTGGAATCAAAAATGAATATCTAAAACTCAATTTCTGCTAAACCGGAAGTGTGCCATTGCATAATGTGCAAATATTTTGCATCAAATCTGTAGGGCTTATTTATGAACCGATTTACCTGAAATTTTCTTTAATATGTGCATTGTTATAAGACGTATCTGGTGAGGCTAAAATAAATTCAAAAAATATTTTTGTCAAAAAAAATGGAATCCAAAATTTTCAAAAAAGCTCAAAATTTCTAACTCAGCCGCTAATTATCCGATTGATCTGAAATTCACAGGACATATACAGAATGTCCATACAAATAAATTTATACAATCAAAATTTTTATATCACTTCCGGTTTTTGTGTGATCACTTCCGGCTTTGCGTGAGAACTTCCGGTTTGTTTAAATCACGCCTGGCATCCCTACTTCCAGTATAAATTTCAGATGTTGGCAAAAACCATATATATTGTCTGTCAGTCATAATTAGAATGCACTTAGCAGAAAAAATCCAAACCGGAAGTGATGCATAAGCCGTCGCCTCGGACTGACCCATTTTGGCAAAAAATTAATTAGTCCTCCATTTTTTATCCGATTTTTATGATTTTGGTGTCTATTAAAACCTTGTAACCTTGTCTACAGTTTGATGGAAACGAATTTTGAATTTCGAATAGGAATTTTTTTTATATTCGTTTGAATTTTTTGAAAATTCAAAAGGCCACACCATGTGACCTTGACCTTCGATGACCTTGAAAATTTCACTGTAGGCTGTTCTTGACCTCAGCTATCCACAGATGTACTCATATTGGTTGAAAAATATTAACTTCCGGTTTAATAGCCATTCAAAAATTAACATTTTTAACAACTTTGGACGGCTGTATGACCTTTTCTAATAAACACAGAAAATTATTTTTTTCAATTTTGTAATTCCCTTTTGATTATCTTTTCAATGATATATGACAATAATCCATTAAAATATGTTTTTAAAATATTGGGTTTTTTCGACTGAGGGTTCTAACTTACAATATAATTAACTCCTAGCAATATGGTTTGTATATTCAAGATCTACTCAATTTTCTCTTTTCAACGATATGTGACATGGGTGGTTTAATACAAAATTGAATTTGTGAAAATAGGCATAAAAGTGTTAAATTTTATAAAAAAGTGTGATAAAAATCTGTA